AAAAAAAAAAAAAAAAAAAAAAAAAAGTATTCTGGCTACTCTAGTTCTTATTTCTATTATGGGTAGAAAGCATGATCTAATTTCCAACTCGTATCTATTCACAGCTCAGATAGGAGAGCCACACTGCACATAGAGTATTTCATGTAACCACAGCTTGCCTAGTCCTGTAGACAGCCCTGGACTCTAAAGCCGGGCTTGTACTAGTAAATAAAACAGGCTAAGGCTGTCCTCTGGCTCTGGTGAACTGGCAGCATCCATCAGTTAAACTCTTTTGCTCTCAAAACCAGAGTGGGTGCATCCAAAGTGCCTAAGGGGAACAGTCTCTGGTCTGTGCTAATTCTCAAACTGCTCAAACATGGAGACATTCAGTTTGGCTAAAACAATGTACCAAAACCATGGCAGAGAGCATGCTACAATTTAACACAGTGGGTGGCCTCTTTTCTTTACCAGCACAGCCATTGCCTTAGACTGTAAATTGCAAGAATGTTTACTGAGTTGAATACCAGTTACCATATGAAATATTTTTCTGAATCGCTAGGATGCATAGAGTGAAACCTCTTCCATCAGGATTGTTCTCTATCTCTAAAGCTGTTTGCTTTAAGACTAACCCCATGGTGACTAAGTAACATCTTTAAGAGAAAATATCACGCTTATAAAACAAAAAATTTCAGAGAAAAACTGAAATATAACACATGCATGTCTATTTTATCTGAGGATAGGCAGGATTAAATTCACGTCAGACAGCTGAAAATTAAAATTCCAAGTCACTCAGTTTTTTATCAGGAATTTGTCTAATTCTTTCTGTAGATGAAAACTTTTTGCATTCACCAGTTCCAGTAGCAATGATTTCTACTGTTTAACTACATCAACAGACTCTAGAGTGCAATTGTTCTGATCACATATGGGCACCTACTTTAAGACATTAATTATTCCAGAGTCCTTTGACTGTAACAAATACAACTCCAGTGATTCTCAAGGGAGCTTAGACATCTACCTTTGATGTAGATATATACTAATAAACACCCCAAAAAAATGGGCAGGATGAACCTCTCCGCTGACTCGTAGCTATGTCTGTTAAGCTGAGATGAATCCCATACGGTCTATCAATTTCTGCTGTTCCTTCAGAAATAGCGTTCAGTATAAGCTGGGCCACCTCGTGTAACTTCACTTTGACTGTCCACTGGGAACTTTATTTGACCTTGAGAAGCTTCTGCGGTTGCATGGGATTAGCAACATGCAATGTGAGTTTGAACTTCCAGTTTCAAAGCACTTGGAAGCAAGCATATTGCTTGCTGAGCCATGCTGGGCCCATGTACGGAGCGAATTCTGAACTTGTGTGGTTTGGAGAACAAGAAACTCCCTCTTGAAGCCTGAATTTTGTGCAGTATAATAAAATGAATGTCAATCTGAATAAAACATTTAATACACAAGGATTTACTTAATTCTTTTTGCACACTTATGTAATATCTTTATTTCAATTCTATTTATCAGTGGTTCATAAACAGGATTTCTTCCTTTTCATTATACAAAAAATAAGTTTTTTTGAAATTAAAGACACTGGTGTAGGACTCTCAATTCTCCAAGATATAAATGGACATTTACATCATGCTTTTTGAATATCAGTACTTTTCGTTACAGGTTTATCCCAGGAAAGAGATATTATTTAAAGGATTAATTGTGCCTTTTGTATGTTTTGCCTGTTAGCTCAAACCATGGCTAGATCAAGGCACGACAAGTTGTGCAGAGCTGACTAAGATTTAGCTTAGGCAAAGGCCTTAAATCAAGGTAGCACAAAGAAATGTTCTCCTTCACCCATTATCTGCTTTAGCTATTCTGTCAGAAAATTATTCAATATCTTTCTCCACTTCTAATTCTGTGCTGTGACTCAGAGGTATATTTTCATGTTCAACATAGAAGTGATACGGTTTGCAATACTACTCTCAAGAAAGGAAAAGCAATAAACAGTATAACTTCACAGGTAAGTAGTGAGCCTGGTCTTGGCAAGAACAGTATTAAAGGATCAGTTTGACCAAAAGAAATCCCACTTTGTTCTTTAGTACTGCTGACAATCAGATAGTTGTAAAAAATTGCTCTTTTTACTTGCAAACTGAGACTGCTAATACAAACAATAGGCACATTTGAGTTTCTGTCACAGCTTCCATTAAATGATCTCAGAGAGATACAAATACTAAACCCCACAATGACCATGTGGCAAATGAACAGAGCAAAGTAAAAAACCATGCGTTGACCACAGTCCATTCTGGCTAATACTAGTTACAAAAACAATCTCCTGGCAAGATGGAAAAATCTTACAAATTCCTCACTGATTTTTCACAGTAAGACAAATTATCTTCTCTGAACTGTGGATAAAAGTTCTTCCTTAAGGCAGAGAACATTCCTTTGTAGTGTCATGGTGAAATAAGTTCTTCACCGAACTTCTGAGAAATCTGGGTACCTTTTTCTAGATTCTTTCTTTATTCCCTTTTATATAAATAAAAATGGCTCACCTGCTAGTTGAGTCAGGATGGGAGTAAATTGACAAGTTCATGCAAAAAGCCCACAGTATCTGCACTTTGTTAAAAAGTGTTTTTGTAGTAGTGAGAAAGAACAGAAAGGAGGAATTGACTGTATGTATGTGTGTAGGTAGTAAAAGTACTTTTAGATAGAGGTGAGAGGCTAGAAGCTGTCAAAAAACTGAGTAGGAGCAGAGTAGACAAGAGATGCCCCAGGTAATGTGCTTATTATATCGGGCAAGTTGAACCATTTTATAAAATACACTTGTAAATAGTATTTGAAGTAAAATGAAAATATTTTCTATTTATATGAGAACTGTTTGCTTAATTAACTGAATTTCTTTGTCTAAATTCAGAATGGTTTCTCTAGGACATATCACTACTGAGGTTATAAGACCAAATACGGAGAAAAAGTCTCTGAAAAAAAGGAGTGAAAACCCAAGGAAACAGCAAAAGGAGCAAGGTGAATATTTGCAGTATTGCCTGTTAGATGTGAGAAAGCTTTTGTATTTGCCTTCTCACTCATTTCTGAAAGAATCAACATAGTTCATAATGAGATTAGTCTGTTTGGTAAGTGTGGGTGGCAAACAATGAATAAACAACAGGATTTAATACTGATCACGTTTTAAGCAGCATATTTCTGTTAGTTACCCAACATCAGTCCTGGCATTATGAGTAAGAGGATGGCAACATCCAATCTCAGATACGCATTTCAAATTAATTAAAACATGACATGCATCTAGAATTACTGTGACTGAGGCATAAAATAATGGAGAGATGAACTTGTAGAGATTTGAAATAGAGGACTCAGAAAAAAAAAAAAAAAAAAAAGAAAAAAAGAAAAAGCAAAAAAGTAAAATGGGAATTTGCCCTTCAAATTTAATAGGCTCAGATTCTTATGACTCTGGTATTTCAGAACTTTGGATCTAAGGAGAGAAAGTATCCTTTCTATGTCTTTTTCAAACACCAAAAATGGATTTTTCCAAGACTGAATTTTCAGAACTATGACACTTTTTTTCCTATGGATTTGTGTTTTATGATAGATTGTAAGTGTTGGGTCAACTCTTTCTCCACAGCTGTAGCATTTTTAATGTCACTTTCTTATGTGGCTTCTCCTGCATCTCTATACAGCTGCCTACTTTCACAAAACTACTGGGAGCTTAATTACATTTGAGACAACACCCTTTTGGCAAACATAGTTAAATTTAGACAAAGGTTTTGAAAGTTTGGTGTAACAGAACAGACAGACACAGTTCAAACATTGACTTTTCATAAGGAATCAGTTTACAAAGACAGAGAAGGATGTCTTTGTGTGTGAGTTATGATATAAAACATTCAGAACACAACACATACATGGATGAAGAATCCCGTAGTTTTTACCACAGCTCACATATCCTACATAAAGCAGTTGTAGTTGGCAACACTTTCAACCCGAGATTGATGATGTCACAACGTGTACTGGATCTTTCCACCTAACATATACATACAGTCCCATATGAGGTGTCAGTATGACAGCCATCCTACATCTCCAGGAAGAACAAGTCACGCTGAGTAAAGGTTGCGAACTCTAGCTCTTTCTGCTCCAGTGAAATGACAGATAAATCCTTCACAGATGGAAAATGTAACAGATGCTAAAATTGGAACTTGGGCTGGACAGTTTATTTGTAATGTGGAATCTTTCGTGACTGCACTTGGGCAGGGACTCAAAATTACATATCTTCTGGCACCTTTGGCTCTATTATGCATGTTGATATTATGTGGGACCATTGGTTCAACACTGACTCAGAGGGAAGAGTGCCTCCGACTGAATCACTAATGCCATATCCTGCAGCACTCTAGTGAAGCCTTGGCAGTAAGGAAGGATAATTACAATGTGGTTACTATGACTGATTTTTGAGATGCTTTTATGTATACCTCAGGCATGCCAGCAGGTAAAATGCAGTCAGCTTGCTCAGAAATATCCAAGTGTCCCGAGTATACTATTTTCTACCACAAAACTGGACATACAGATAGAATCTTATTAGACAAAAATATGCAACAGAACACCATACCCTGAATTACTCTGTATCTTTTTCACATAAATATAATTTACAAAACTGTCCTTGTATGAATACAAAACTGTCCTTGTACAGATTTCTTTCGCCTTTTGATGATAAATAAGTCATATATATAGAAGATGTTGCTTCTCTTACAACAGAAACACTAGTGTCTAGTCTGCTTTTCCAGAGTCTGTGAATAACTGCTGAATGAGTAGGTGTGACAGTGGCACCAGCAACATCAACAGAATTTTACTAACGATGTTATGAGGCCAGGCAGCCTGAAGACAAATGATCCTTGGTGCCAAGGGGACATTTTCACAAGTATCAGGCTGAGATACACAGTAGCAAAACACTGCAGTGTTTACTACTCGTCTTGCATGTTGTCACATTACCACCTGATAGGAGGCATCAAGGAAATACTGATACTGGGAAATATCATTCAATATGAAGATGTGTCCACATGCTCAGTTATACCTACTGAGGCTATTTTAATATTTTCCTCAAATAGGGTCTCTGTTTTTCTCTTCCTCTTGCTTGCACTCCTCAGGTCTCTTCCCATCGCCTTTCTTTACCTTCAGCAAATCTGTACTTCCCACCTTTTGAAGATTTTACTATCTCCTTCCTTCTTCTGTGTGTTAAAACAATCTAAGAAAAAGTTAGGGCCAACATCAGTATTGATTAGATTACTAGAGCGCAGACAGTTTACGCATCTCGGTGCCATTGTTTCAGGATGTTTGCAGATTCATTCCGATACCACTGTATCAGTTACAGTCAGTTCATGGTTTCAGGGTTATCTTTGTAACCATGACGACTAGATGCTATTTTTTTAAAGATGAAGATAAGATTACTTACAAGTTGAAAATGCTGTGAAGGACACAGAAATGTTCCTAAACTGGACATTTGCCAACTTTTACTAATGAAGTAAGAGATAGCAAGCAAGTTAACTTAGAATAACTGAATAGGGTTATTTTATTTCTTTTTGGTCAGATTATTTGAAACTGTGGTTTCTTCAGTTATGAACTGTTAAACACTCAGACAGACCCCTGGTTGCGGCGAGGAAGGGGTGTAGGGTTTTTTTTGTTTTTTTTAATTGCTGAAAGGTCTGGGTATTTCACATTAACATGCGAATTAGAAAACGATTTTATCACTCCGGCAGTCCCGCTGGATTACTTTAGCGGGCTGTATTAAAGACGGAGGGCAGAATGGATGGATTTAACCTGTGCGCTCACCAATGTCAAACTACGCGCAGCGCCCCTCTGGGGGCCGGGGCCCGCGCTTTCTGCCAGGCCGCTGCCCCTTGAGCTTCCCCCCTGGCGCCAGCCCGCGGTCCCGGGCAGCCCCGCGGCCGGGCGCTGCCTCCCGCCCGCCCGCTGCCCAACGGGCTCCAGCCGGGCCGCGGGGCCGCAGCTCCTCAGC